CTATATAGTGTGAGTCATTTTTAAAATTCTGTGAGAGTTAAGTATTACATGATAAGAATCATCTTTAAAATCTCAATATCTAATATGATCCTGTGATTTGTTTGTACTTTGATTTGAATTTGCTTTTGTGAGATAAAATCGAAAGATTTTCAAATTAAAACGAATAATATTTTATAATAACTTGGATGTGGATCTCCATACTTATAATATATAAAAGTTAATTTGTATAAAAAATTTAAAGTAATATATTTTTATATTATCACAATTGCCATGAGCAGCTCTTGTACTTAAAAAAAAAAAAAAAAACCCTATTACTAAAATTATTAGTACATCATCTTATGACAATATATGTAACTAAATAATTATTTAATAGAAAAATTTATTTTACAAATCAAATCACTTTTTATTAACAAATATTTTTTCACAGAAAAAATGTTCAAAGATTTTTTTTTTAATTTTTAATTTTAGAGAGTTAATGGATACTTTAGCTTAATGTTTGTGGATCCACCACTGCTGCGAAAATATAAATATTTTGAATGCTGAAAAAGTAAAAACACAATAAAAGGAATGAAATTCAAATCCGAAGAAATCAAAGAGAAGAAAAATCAATGGCCTCAAAGGCGGTCGGTAAGCTAAACCAGATTAAGCCCCCCTTTCCCCCCCGGTGGACTTTGAAAGATCCATTTTATATACATACATTTATAATATATATATATATATATATATTAAATAAATTTAAATTGACCCCCACAAATTAAAAATTAAAATATATTAAAATTTATCTATTTATTTTATCCGTCAATCATTATTCATAAATAATTTAATGTTAATTGGTTTTCCCCAAATATTAAGTTACAATTACGTGAATTTAAAACAAAATTAATTTAATTTTTTAAATTCTAATTTATACTCTCAATTAAGTAAAAGAACAAATAAATTTAAATTTTTTTTTACCTACTTATTTTAACTCTTTTAGTTCAAATATGAAAATCGTAAAAAGAAGACTTAGAAATAAGATGAAAAATGAGTTTTTTTTTAGATAATTTAGTTGTCAACATTGAAAAAAAATTGATGAAATATTTAGTTCAAATTTAATTTTGGAAATTTTATTTTTTTAAAAGAATATCGCTCTTAATTTTAGATAAAATTATTTATTTAATATATTTTATTTTTTTATATTTTTATTTATAAATTGATAAGTTTTATGATTTTATAAGTTTATAATTTTTTATTAATATATTACTTACATATATATATATATCTTATGTTAGTAAAATAACATAAATCAAATAAAAATTTTATATAATATTAAACTTTTAATTGATCCTCTTAAAATTATATGCGAAAATCCTGGGGAACGTGTTGAAGGTGGGGTAGTCGATAAAACAAAAACAAGAGAAAAAAAAAAATGGCGGCTGACTTTGTTCCTCGGCCGGTTGCAACGCGTAATCTCTTTCACATTTACAGCCAAATACCCAGACAGGATATTTGGAGATTCTTGAGAGTAGATTCTTTTTCGATAATTTTTTAAATTTTAATAAAATAAATTATAAAAAGCTCTTAATATTATTAAAATTTTTAATTTTTTAAGATCATTAATCGAATTGAACTGTTACAATATATAAATATTTATTAGTTTTTTTAATATTCAATCATTATCAAATTTAAGAAAATAATTTTGGTATTTTGACAATAATAAATTTTTTTATATAATTTCTATTAATAAAATTATATAGGTCTTGAAATGAAATATGGTAGATTACCTTAGTTTGAATAAAAAAAGCAATAACATAAACTATAATTAATGTTAATTATTAAATTTATAATTTAATTTGATTAATTTATATAATTATTTTTAAAAAATAAAATCTTATAAATATGGGATTAAAATCTTAATATCTACAATTTTTTTCTAACTTCATATTACAATGATCTTGTAAAAACACTAATGGCAACCAAATTATAGAAAATTTTTAGTCGAGTCGTATTTAAATAAATAATATTATTTTAAAATTGATACACAATTGATCCAGAATAATATGAATAATAATATTTTTTATTCGACTTCTTTTTTGGGTAAGAAAAAAATATTATTACGAAAAGTAGCAACTAAATTAAGGTTGCAATATAAATCAAGGTCCTTACAGAAGCAAAAGGGAAAAATTAAAGACCTCATTAGTAATTTAACAAATTAAATAAAAAAAAAAACCAAAGACAAATTAAGCAAGCCTAAAAAATTCTTTCAAAACCCAAATAATAAACACTCAGCTGATCATAAAGTCAGAAGAAAGTCCTCTTTAAAGCCATGACTTTATGAACAAGGACTTATAATTAAGCAACAACACAACATTGAAGAACAGCTTATCCATTAGAACTTTGATTAAACTTGATTATTTTAATCAGCATTTGTAATTAATTTCAACAATCAATCCTTCATTCCGATAAGAATTAAGTCATGATGACAAACATATATTTTAGTCATAGGCGTGCTCCATATTGTTCTTATTTAATAATTTAATAAGCATTTATTTTCTATAAATAGTCCGGAGGTCAATTCATTTTAAGTTGATTGGTAAAGGATTTTTAATCTTCGCAATTGCAAGCTTGGACACTAGCATTAAAATTTTTTTTTTAATAGATATGATGATTTATATATTTATATAATATAAAATATTAAAATTTATATATTTATATCATATTTTATATAAAAATTATGTACAATAATTTATATTAACACAAAAATTTTAAAAATATATTTTTAATTTTATTAAATATATATATAATTATTATTAAAATTTTAAATTATATTATTTTTATTTTTTTATATCACACTTATATCATATCAATCATATTATATTTTAAATTATCTTCCTAACATTCTACAAAAGAAACTTTCACCTGACAATATATAGCGAAAGCAACACTCCAAAGAAAAATGTTTGAACAGACTCAGCAGCCAAGCAACACTCTGTGGAAAAATGTTTGAACAACTCAGCAGCCGACACGCCCAAGCTATGATACCAAACCAAATAAATCAAAGTCAAAACCAACAATTAATTCCGCTAAAAAGCACTATTATTGAACCAATTCCCCAAAACCACTGCTACTAATGGATATAAAGCAGAGACAAAGAAAGCAAACTGAAGTTGCTTCCTTCCCTAATAATTCAATAAATGAATATATCTATATTTATATTCATTTCCACCTTGCTTAAAACTACCTCAAACAAAGCAAATTTTTATTAAAGGGCAAAGGGTTTTTGGGTTTTGCACAATATATTACTTTTTTGAGCCACTTCAAACATATTTATTTATTTATATAAGGTTTAACAAATTTATTAAAAATTATCTTTTTATAATTTTCAAATGGATTCAAACTCGGATAAATAGATCATCAATTTGTAATTTGTAATTACTCTTTTTGTTATTTGAGTCAAATATTTGTTTGTAAAGTAAATTATAATTTTATTTTTTAAAATTAACAAGATAAGTCGATATGTTTATAAAAATAATCTTTGTACTATACATTTTATCAATTTGGTCTCTAAAAAATAAAATTATCAGTATGATACTCCAATACCAATATTGTTAGCTAACTTATTGCTGTGTTATGAATATCCAATAAAATAGTGATATGTGTTAAAAAGTTCAATTAATGCTACATTACCAATTGTCACATCTGTATTAAAACAAAATTCAAAAACTCAACAAAAAATTCTAAAAAATTTAAAAAATTATAAAAAAAGAAATTAAATATTTCAATAAATTTTAAAAATTATGAAAATTTTAAAAAATTCGAAAAATCTCAAAAGTTTAATAAAAAAATAACAAAAAGCAAAAATTCAAAATAAAAAAAATAAATATTTTTAAAAAACTAAAAATTTGAAAAAAAATTGTAAAAAAATTTTAAAAAATTTTGAAAATTTTCATTTTTGAATCTTATAATTTTAATTTTTTTTATAAATATTTTGAAATTTTCAGAAAAAATTTTGAATTTTTTTTGTATCTTTTATTAAAATTTTATGTTTTTATATTTTTTAAAATTGTTATAATTTTTTAGAATGTTTTATATTTTTGAAAATTTTTATTTTTTCAGAAAATTTTTAATTTTTTTATAAAATTTTTTAGATTGCTTCAGATTTTTGAAAAATTTTTTTTTCAAAAAAATTTATATATTTTTTTATTTTCAAAATTTTTCAAAAAAATTTTAGATGTTTTTATTTTTCAGGTTTTTAAGTTTTGTGAATTTTTTTGAATTTTAAGGAAATTTATATTTTTTGAAATATTTTAGATTTTTGAAATTTTTTATTTTTCAGAAAATTTTAAAAATTTTTAGAATTTTTTAGAATTTTTTTATTTTTTCAAAAAAAATATATTTTTTTATTTTCAAAATTTTTCAAAAAAACTTTAGATTGTTTTTATTTTTCAGGTTTTTAAGTTTTGTGAATTTTTTGAATTTTAAGAAAATTTTCATTTTTTGAAATATTTCATAAATTATTTTTATTTTTTGTATTTTTTTAACTTTTTGAGATTTTTTTTATTTTTAAAATTTTTGTAATGTTTTAAATTTTATAAATATTTCATTTTTTAATTTTTTTTATAAATTTTTAAAATATTTTAGATTTTTTTGAGAGTTCAAATTTTTTTTTAATTTTTTCGAATTTTTAAAAATCTTTCTTTTAATATTGATGTGGCACTTTACAATGATGTCAATTGAAAATTTTGACATGTATTAATATCTTATTAGATGTTCACACAACGTCAATAAATTAACTAACAATATTAGTCCGAAATACCAAAATGAATGACGGAATAAAAGTTAAAAAACTAAACTAACAAATTTTTTTAAGTATCAAACTAATAAAAAATATATAATATAAAGATCATTTTTATATTTAACCCTTAAAAATTTAAATAATACTAATAATTCAAATAATGAATATAAACAGGTTAATCAAATTTGTTGTTAAGTTCAATGACAAAATGTGAATACAGCCTATACTCAGCATCATCATTACTCAAATTTTTTTTTTTTTAACTTGCCGTACATGGCAATTTTGGTTTGCATTTACCATGATACTTGAGTCAACCTATTCAATTCCTATAGCAAGAGACAGATGCTAATATGCCAAGTCTTCTCTCAAGTAATTGAGTTTCTTTTGTCTTCTTTGCATTTTCCTATCTACTTCCTTTCTTTATATAAAGCAGCATCGTCAAGTTACACCATTGATTTCAGAGATAATATATGAGAATATATAATCTATTTCTCTGGCTGTTTTGAGCATAATTCCTAGCAGAGAATTGATTAAAATTTAAGCAGGTTTCTTTCTTTTGTTTGAAGAAGATCGAGAAGATGTGCTTCAGATTCAGTCCCACCGACGAAGAGCTTATCGAAATCCTGAACCAGAAAGTATCTGGGAATTCGGCCATGACGCCTTTGAATTTCATTGTTGAAAGAAATATTTATGAATTCGAGCCGCAAGATCTTCAATGTCCGACGTTTCTTCTTCTTCTCTTCTTCTTCTTCTTCTTCTTCTTCTTCTTCTTCTTTATCATGGATTAATTTCTGGTCTAGATATGTTTCCTTACTTTGCATGTCTGAGATCACATTTTGGCATATCAAAGTGTGATATTAATACGTAAAGATATCAATTTGGGTGTCCTTAGCCTCCTAGGATCATATCTGAGCGTGCAAGGGAACAGAAGCCCGTGTTTCATTGAACTTGCATCAATCAGATCAGGCCAACAATCACATAGTTCCCATCCCATGTTTCATCCATCATCCTAATCCCTAGCTGCTTACTGACTCTCTGACTCCCTTGCAATGGCTCCCAAAATCCAAAAATTCAACTTTCATTTCTAAGTGGCTTTTCTACCAATTAGTACTATGAGAAAACTTTTTTTTTGCTAAATGTACTATACGAAATCTGATTAGGAGATTAAAGTCTTCAGATGATTATCAGTACATTTGAGAGCGGATTGGAGTGCTGCTTCCACCGCACTGCAGCAAAGGATCTTGTGATCATATTGGAAGCAATAAGGATTATAGCGATCACATGACCAATCACACCTAGCTTATGTAGGAGGATACATGCACAACTTGGCTACTCTTGAGGACCAGTTTTGATAATTTAAACTGGAGTGAAACGAAATGGGGTGGACTAAAGGGTAGTCACGTAATGGCTCAACCTAAACCAGTCTTCGCAAGAGTCGAACAGATAAAGGAGACAGAAATTGGGGGTGAAGCAGCGAAAAAAGTTGTGAAAAAACAAAATGAAAAGGCGTCTAGTTCAAGGGGTGGTAGAAGCCTAGAGTTCCAATTCACAAGAAAGTGCGTTTTATGAGTGAACCCTAGATGGAACCCAAATTGATCTCACATTCAAGCATATATTTAACTAAGCATATTCAAATCTCTCTTTCTCTAAATTATACAAAAAAAAGACAAGAAAATAATATCTCAATTCGCAAACTCATATATAGTGAAATTTACATAGTGTTTGCATTTTTCAGGGACTCAAAGTTTGGGCTTAAACAAGAACGAAAAGTATTACTATTGTAGGAGGGAAAGCGACTCAAGAGAAGTGACAGGTAGAGGATGGTGGAAGGCAACAAGTCATGTGAAGACAATTTCTAGTAATGGACGAGTGGTGGGTTGCAAAAGACCCCTAACATTTCACAAGTTTAGGGATAACCAAACAAAGCGCAAAGATGCAATCAAAACTGACTGGATTATGCATGAATATGGGCTTCAATCCATTCCAACGGTTTGCTTTCGCTATTCATTCTTTGCTTTTTCTTCATAACATTTTAAGCAAAACGCATATTTTCATTCGGATACCTTTGCCTGGTTCATGAAACGCACTGAATTTAACAATGAGCTATTTGTTCACAAGAGTTGGTTTTTTTTATTATGTTAAGTTCAAGCCCTAATTTTAACCCCAAAAGAAAAAAAAAAAAGCAAAAATGCAAAATTGTTCTGAATTTGCAAGCTATAGATTTCTTGAGATATCATCTCTTCTTATTTTTTCTGCAGCCACCACACATTTATTTACAAACTAATATATTTTTTACACCTATACTTTTTTACATAAAATGTTGCAATTTGATGATACGTGAAGAAGTTATAAGTATTAAATTTGAATATCAAATCTATTGAATGTTATCTATTAAGAATATACTATATGAATAAACTGAATTAAGTTTCAGATTCTATCACATTTATGGTAATTACTCTTAGCTTTTGTACTCATAAATAGGTTAATATCTACCAAACTTTTTAAAAATTAACAATACTTGTTTCTGAGCCTAAAGAGCCTGCTGTTTTTTTCTTTTCACTATCAACTCTAACCTCCCACGTTAAAACCTTGATAATATAAGGAGAGGGAGGCCGGCTAGTTCCTGCATGGCTGCATCTATGTATATCGCCTAAGTGAATAGCTACAAGTGAGGTAGCGATGAACAAAATATTTTAAAAATTTTTATGGCTATGTGCAGCTCTTAATGATTTTTGGCAATATAGTTAATTATTAAAACATTGCTAATTTATCTTAGACTTATTGTTCAACATTGTGCTCAATTTGATACAAAATATAGGTTGTTGATTAGTCAAATGTTAGGAACAATTAATTTTTCCATTTTCGAGTGCTTGCATGATGAGCTGTGTCTCTTTTTTTTTTTTTTCTAGTTTTTTTTATTAAAGTAAATTAAAAAGGTTCGAACATAGTATTGCAAATATAGTTAATTACTATGTAAAAGAATTTTATTGAGGTTGTTTTATTTGATAGGAATGGTAAGGATGGAAAAGTATATGAATTAATGATTAAGCAACAAGATCTAACCATTTTGTTTTCATTTTTATCAAACAAAACTTTAATTACAGCAGAGATAACAAGAGAAGATATAGTATTGGATACTATTATGCAGCTAGGTTTTTCAAGCAATGAGATGATTCTCTGTCTTGCTTTCAGATTTTCTCTTTTGAAAAAATGTCTCAATAAAAAAAGGATGATCTTTATTTATAAAATCACAGTAGTCCAATATTTGATTATTAAATATGGCAACGTTCCTTCAAAAAAATTGCAAATAATTTATTAGAATTTTAGAAATATATATATTTCTAATATATATATATATATATATTTCTTGATTGACTTTGTTTTTCTTTTTTTTTTTTTTTTTGAGACTTTCTTCTTGAATATAATCTTATAGTTTTTTTTTTGTTCTTGTTTATGTAGGAGTGGAGACTCTGTAAGATTATGTACAGAGGAAAAGAAATGCTTGAAGAAGACATGGAAAATATCAGAAACGACAATCCAATGAGTTCAGAAGCTGGAGTTAGCAGTAATTCCATAAATCCCATGCAGTTAGAGTACTTTGCTTTTGAGGAGCAGCAGCCATTTCTGCCGCCATTACCTGAAAACAATGATTATGAAAATTATTTTTGGTCATCCTCATCATTTGATGATCTGCAGCAGCAGCAGGGATTGGCGCAGCCATCCTCTTTATTTGATCCAAGTTCTTCGATGCCAATACTCACACCAAGCTATGATGACTTTGCCCAACAGGACAACCAGCAATCATTTGCGGACCTGTGGTCCGAGGAGAATTGGCATTGTGACCCCTCTGCTCCTTCAAGCATGCTGTTCAACCACAAATAAAATGGTTTAATGTTTCCTTTCCCCTATGTAACGTAGTAAGGCTCCACTTGAGAGCCGGATGAAATGCTCTCACCACATCCGAGGGTGCACTTTTGATTGTATCCAAAAAAAAAAAAAAAAATCAGCTGAACTCTCAAATGAAACCTAAATTAATATAATTTGAAGAGTCTAATATTATGCATTTAACTAATTTGGGATCTCATACAATGCAGGGTTGCAATTATTTTTTTTTTCCCATTCTCTAATTGCATGCATATAACTATCCTACATATATGTGTAATAACACAAACTATTAAAATGCAAATTAAAATATAAAAAAATTATTGCATAACAATAGTTATAATTTTAGCAATGAACATATTGTGTACAAAATTTTGAAAGATATTTCCCATTGGAATTACAACTTACAAAAAAGTTTTGTATTCTAACTTAAAAAAAAAAGGAAAAGGCATAATATGTGGCCAGGGGATGGCTCTTGGCCATGTTTGTCACTGCAAGAAATTTCATTTTAAGCAATAATTTTTTTTTAATTTAATTTGTATAAATGTGGCCAAAAATATGTTTTTGCAACATAAATAGTATTATGTTGCAATAGACTAGTACAAGTTACATTTTTCAGCAAAATAAATACAAAATCGATGCTGTTTTTTTTTTAACGTTACTATTTGCAGCACCTTGAAATAATTTGCACTATATTTTTTTTGCAACATAAAAGTCTTATGCTAGTATTGTAAATTATTTTTTGCAACAGAAGTGTACAAAAAAATTATTGAAAATACTTTTTTAACATAGTTAATAATTATTAATTACATCATAGCATAATTTTTTTTTCTGAATCATATTTCTTGTAGTTTGACCTAATTAACTCAATCGTATATTCATCTTTGGATTATTATTCTACTATATATAAACAATACCTATATTGCGTAATACTCAAGCATATCATGTGTTTGTAATTTGAGTACTTGAAATTCTAATTGAAAACAAGTATTGGATTTAGTCGGTGAATGTACTCAATCTGAATGGTTATGAGTCTTAAGCGGGCAGATGTTGTCGGTGATTTTCTATTAATATGTTGAGTTGGATTTAAACTTCTAGACGTCTTTGGAATTAAATTTTGGGGGCGACGTAATCACACGTGAAAAATGTGATTCCCTGTTAAACTTGTGGAGTCCAGACTCATATTATTATTATAATATTATTGTTCTAAAAGGTCTACAAGCCTTTGGTTTCTTTTAATCGAGACATAAAGCTCTATTTTTCATATGAGAGGTGCGGGATAGCTGTAAGTTTGATAAGAGATCAAAAAAACGTTGATTTTTTACTTTGATTGAAGTGCGGGGTAGCTGTCACTTTGATAAGAGATCAAGGTCGATTTGTACTTTGATTGAATTAAAATTTTGTTATTACATTTATATTTTATTATTTTGTATTTTTACCGGTAGAAATTGGATTTGATGTTTTTTAAGACTAAAATTTGAATATATTTATTCAGTAATTTATTTTATTAGATTTCTTTAATTTTTTAATTATTATTTAACTTTAGTTTTAGTTAAAAAAACCTTTATATACTCCCTTGATAATAGATTTTTTTTTGCACAAGATTTTTATTCCTAAAAAGTTTTTTTTTTATGTAAATTTTGATATATTTTATGTCATAATGATTTTATAAATTGCTAGATGAATTTAAAAATATAAAAAGTTGTAATCAATATTTTTTGATTATATGTGATTAGTTACCTAAATAAAACTTATCCCTTTAATAAAATTTTAAAATTTATTAAAACTTATTAAAAAATAATTTTTGAATTTACGAAAATAGTTAAGCGAGGCGAAAGATTAGCTATCTCATAGCGTACGTTTAAAAAAATCAATTAATTATGTGTTATCTTTTAATTTTAACAAAAATTATCTTAATTTTGATATTTAAAATTTATTTTCTTAAATCTATTTTTATTTGTCATAGTTTTGGTTTTTTATTTTCCTTCACAAAATTTCCTCCTTTTTTATTTTTTAAATTGTTATTTCATTTTTATTTGAAAAAAAAAATTAAAACTTATTGAAAAACTCTTAAAATGTTGAGTAGTTAAGTCTTTATTTTAAAAGTCTTTCTAGAATATATGTGATAGTAAGTTGTCTTGTCTAGTTACAATGAGTCAATGCCTTAGGATCGCCAAGCTGTGGAGATCTTTAAGGATTATTTAGTCGAGTGTGTACAACGATGTCCTTGTTGGGGTGGAGTAATAGGTGATGGAGGAAGACTTGAAAGAGTTATTGGGAAATTTTAAACTTACAGAAGAGAGAGGAAATTGAGGATAGAAAAGGAGACAGTGGCCATGAGATTGAAGCAAGGAACGCATGGTTGGTGGGCACTCTATTAACAAATAGAACATATTAACAAATAGACCATAAAATAAAAAAGCCATGAAGGGAGTCTTGAAGTTTTTATGGAGAGTGGCGAAAGGGTTTGAAATAGCAGATATTGAGGAAAACATTTATCTTTTTAAATTTGCTTCACCATCAGATAAGAGTAGGGTTTAAGCAGGTGAGCCGTGGTCATTTGATAAGAATCTATTAATTAAGCTGAGTATAATAGAACACTTTGCCTAAGGGAATATAGCTTCAAAATAACATGCTTCTGGATCCATGTGTATGGATTACCCTTGGGAATGCAAAATGAAGAAAACGATGAAAGAATTGGAAAAAAGATAGCAGTTCTTAAGAAGATTAATGCATTCTTTGATAAAAGGGTTGGATCATATTTTTGAGAATTTGAGTAGAAGTGGATGTTACGAAACCTTTGAGAAGGATGGTTCTAATAACAAAGAAGGATATAGGGCACTAGATAAAGGGTAGACTCAACTATGATGGTTTTCATGTTTTTGTTATACTTATGGGAAGCTTGGTCATGCAAAGAGGATTGTTGAAAAGTGATCCAAAATTGAGTTCATGTTTGGGCTCAATGTCTTAGTTTTTAAGATATAGTTGATAGTAGTTATTATACGTGACTGGATGATTTATAATATTCAGTCACTTTCTCTATATTTTCATTATCTGTTAACTATTTAAATTTTTTACTCTCTTAGTGATCTTGTAAGCTTATTAAAATGCTGATTAAATTTAATAGAAATGCAAAGTAATTTATTCATAATTATAAAAAATTAGTTATTTCTTTTGCATCGGTAATTTAATTTCAGAAAATCTACCTCTTTACTTAACAAATTTTTGGTATAAGAGCCTTAAGATCCTTACTTATTTTTTATATTCGCTAAATTGTCAATGATGGCAATGAATGGTAGTTCAAATGTAGCCCAACCTCTAATTCACGTGTTTGATGGAAAATGTTACAACTTTTAGAGCACTAAGATGAAGACATTCTTCAAATCTCAAGATCTTTCAGAATTTTGTAGAGATTGGATACGACGAGAATGATAACAATGAAGGATGGCTAAAAGATAACAAAAAGAATGATTTCAAAGCCCTATTTATTATTCAGTAGGTAGTTCATAAGACATTTTTCTTTAGGATTATAGTAGCCAACATTTCAAAGAAAGCTTGAGAAACTTTGCGAAAAGAGTTTCAAGGCTTTTCAAAAGTTATTACTGTGAAATTTCAAACTCTCTAGCATGAGTTTGAAACTTTGATGATGACAAGTAAGGAAACAATGCAAGATTTTCTTTCTAGAGTAATTTCTATTATTACTCAACTGAGATCTTATAGTGGTATGATTACTAATGAGATTGTTGTTTCTAAAGTTTTAAGAAACCTAACTTTAAAGTTTGATCATATAGTTGCTACAATAAAAGAGTCTAAGGATTTGTTTATTTTTTCTTTTGACGAGCTAATAGGTTCTTTGCAAGCTCATGAGACAAGATTGAACAGATCACAAAAGAAAACTGATGAGAAGGCATTTTAAGTGAATGGAAAAAAAATTAAAAAGAAAGTGTTCATTGACAAAGGATATGGCAGATGAAGCTTTTGTGAAAGAGGATGTAGTAGAGGTAAAAAAAAAGGTCATTTTGATGGATAGAGAGACAATTTGTTGGTGAGAAAAAAGGGAATCAGAGCATTTTTCAATGTTACAATTACAAAAAATTTAAGCATGTAAGGGCAAATTGTTGGAACCAAGTGAGTTATGTGGAGGAAGAAAGCAAAGAAAGTGAGTTATTCATGACTCATTTACCTACTAATGAAGTTTCAAATGATGTTTAGTTTGTGGATAGTGGGTGTTCAAACTATATAACCCCATATAACCCCAACAGATCGCTATTTAAGGATATTGATGAGTCACAAAAGTTGTAAGTCAAACTTGGGGATAACAAACAGATGCAAGTTAAAAGAAAAGGTACCGTTATAATAGAGGCAAGCAATGGTAAAATAAAATTACTTTTTGATGTCTTATTTGTTCCTAATTTGACGCATAGTTTGTTGAGTGTTGTACAACTAATGGCTGGTGGATGTGTAATTATGTTCGAAAATAGAGTATATGTGATTAAAAATAAATTTGGGTAACCTATGATGAATGTGCATATGACAAAAAATAAGATGTTTCTACTTAAAATTTCTAACATGAAAAAGCAAGCTTTTATTGTTATTAGAAGAATGAATCAAAATTGTGGTATCTATGATATGAACATCTCAATATCAAAGACATGCAATTACTAAGTAAGAAAGGTATGGTTCTTGAATTACTTCAAATTGGATTTCTTGATTTATGTGAAAGGTGTATTTATGAAAAACAAGCAAAAAAGTCATTTCCAAGTGGACAGTCGTGAAAAGCCTTTGAATGCCTTGAATTGATACATGTCGATCTATGTGGGTCTATAAGAATTACATCACTTGGTAGGAGTAAGTATTTTTTATTTTATACTGATGATTGTAGTCGAATGAGTTGGGTTTATTTTCTAACCAATAAGTTAGAGACTTTTAAGAGTTTAAAAAAATTCAAGGCTATTATGAAAAAGCAAAGTGGAGCTTTCATAAAAGCTCTTCACATTGATCGAGGAGGAAAATTTTAATCTAATGAGTGTAACTTTTTTTGTGAGAAAAATGGCATTCACAAGGAATTGATTGCTCCCTACACTTTAGAGCAAAATGATGTAGCTGAAAGAAAGAATCGTATTGTTGTAAAAATGGCTAGAAGCTTGTTGTAAGTGAGAGGATTACTGAATCATTTTTTAGACTAAAATTGTGGCAAGTACTGTTTACTTGCTGAATCTTTCTCCTACAAAAGCAGTTTTTTAT